CTATGCTTGAACACTGCGTTCATTGCAAAGGCCATTGGATTGTGCACGACTAGTAAGTACGGTTTTGTTCGCTGCTCCTCATTATCACTACCCTCTTCACCGTTGTTGCCAACAGCTTCTTCTCCTCCCTCCTCACAGCCGTTGTCGTCACTATCTCCACCTTCCACGTCGCTGGAGCTGCGCCGGCGTTTCTTCCCTAGACTACGCATCTGAATGGTCACTCCTCTCCATGTTCCACATGAAATGCCAGATTTGGTGGCATGTCATTTAGTTTCCTGGGTAATGGCCTGGCCAATTACAGCGGTAGAGACTGCACATACATACCAAATATAGTTAGTTAAGTCACCACTAATACTGATCGTCACCACTTACCGCCTGTTACAATCGCTGCACGCCTCACAGTAGAATCTAGTTGCACTTCGTTGGCCAATTTTTTGCTTCGGAATTGAGCAGATGATTGAGCAGATGATCGTGAATGTCAACCTCGCTCATCCAGCGGTGGTAGTCACGCACGGCTGATGGGAGGGGATAATGGATCTCCGGCCACCAGGCAAGTGCAGTCCTTTGACGAAAACACAATACACTAAAAGTTAGCAGACATTCGTCATTATATACATACATACAACATACTCCATACCAAGTACTTGTGTCCATTGACTTCGCGTGGGAATTCATCGATCGACTTCACATATTACTGAATACCCAGTAGTGCATTTAGGTATACGGTATTGATGTCTTCTCAATAGAGCTGCAAGTGTAAAGCTGTTGCAAGCTCCACCAGCATTTGGAACGACGGCATGCCTGCCACAGGTGCGAAGGTTTCCAGGAAGTCAATCCCAGGTCTCTGATGATTACCAAATGCAGCTATTGGCGACTTGAAGCGTATCACATATCCCTCGTGGTCCGATCTAATAGAGCGTACCATTATTGTGTTAGTCGGTTTTGCGTCAGCCGGCACTTGATCGAATGGAATTTCCTGGAGAGCTCCCTTTGCCTTCAACGCCGCCATCTCCTCCAGATCTGCCATCAACCAGAAGTCGCCATACCTCGATCTCAGCAACTCTCGACAGTTCCTTGGTATCTCCACTCGGATTGAAATCCCCCCCTTGTCGAGTACTCGAAACGTTTTCTGCATAGCATGAGCAACATATTCGTGTAGGTATCCCGGTCGTCGATGCTTATAGGCTTAATGAAGTCTCATGCACTTCCGTTTGGGTTTTTGCTTTTCTGCACTTCGCTCGACACGGCCTTCCTCCGAGTGTGTTTCATCGCGATGCATTCTCTTACCATTTTCGTTTAGCCGCAACGTGGTGTGTGGGGTCGCAAAATCACGTTGCGATCCATTCAGACACACAGCGCCCTGGACTACCGACTAACG